GTACACACCACTACACACCACTAGTACACACGACTACACACCACTACTACACACGACTACACAACACTAGTACACACCACTACACACCACTAGTACACACCACTACACAACACTACTACACTACACTACACAACACTAGTACACTCCACTACACACCACTAGTACACACCACTACACAACACTACTGCACACCACTACACAACACTACTGCACACCACTACACAACACTACTACACAACACTACACAACACTACTACACACCACTACACACCACTAGTACACACCACTACACACCACTAGTACACACGACTACACACCACTACTACACACGACTACACAACACTAGTACACACCACTACACACCACTAGTACACACCACTACACAACACTACTACACTACACTACACAACACTAGTACACTCCACTACACACCACTAGTACACACCACTACACAACACTACTGCACACCACTACACAACACTACTGCACACCACTACACAACACTACTACACAACACTACACAACACTACTACACACCACTACACACCACTAGTACACACCACTACACACCACTAGTACACACGACTACACACCACTACTACACACGACTACACAACACTAGTACACACCACTACACACCACTAGTACACACCACTACACAACACTACTACACTACACTACACAACACTAGTACACTCCACTACACACCACTAGTACACACCACTACACAACACTACTGCACACCACTACACAACACTACTGCACACCACTACACAACACTACTACACAACACTACACAACACTACTACACACCACTACACACCACTAGTACACACCACTACACACCACTAGTACACACGACTACACACCACTACTACACACGACTACACAACACTAGTACACACCACTACACACCACTAGTACACACCACTACACAACACTACTACACTACACTACACAACACTAGTACACTCCACTACACACCACTAGTACACACCACTACACAACACTACTGCACACCACTACACAACACTACTGCACACCACTACACAACACTACTACACAACACTACACAACACTACTACACACCACTACACACCACTAGTACACACCACTACACACCACTAGTACACACGACTACACACCACTACTACACACGACTACACAACACTAGTACACACCACTACACACCACTAGTACACACCACTACACAACACTACTACACTACACTACACAACACTAGTACACTCCACTACACACCACTAGTACACACCACTACACAACACTACTGCACACCACTACACAACACTACTGCACACCACTACACAACACTACTACACAACACTACACAACACTACTACACACCACTACACACCACTAGTACACACCACTACACACCACTAGTACACACGACTACACACCACTACTACACACGACTACACAACACTAGTACACACCACTACACACCACTAGTACACACCACTACACAACACTACTACACTACACTACACAACACTAGTACACTCCACTACACACCACTAGTACACACCACTACACAACACTAGTACACACCACTACACAACACTACTACACACCACTACACAACACTACTACACACCACTACACAACACTACTGCACACTAGAGCTTAGATTCTCTGCCCGGCCCGCGGGCCCAAGCCAGGTCGGGCCGGGAGCACCCCCACCCCCCCCACCCCCCCCGACAGGCCCATGCCTGGTCAGATATGATGTTTTGTTTTTTTTAAAGCTATGATTTGATAATGTTATGGGCTGTGTGTTGTAGCGACCCTGCAGTACATAATAATAACTGCAGAATAACTGCATCATCCTTTCCACACGTCCTGGCGGACGCTACAGTATTATAAAAAATAAAATTAAACCACACTTTGTATGACACATAAAGCTACAACAAACTTAGTTACAATGTTGCAACATTGTGCGCGCACAGTCCTTCACCACCTGGATCCTAAAATAAACACCTGTTTTATTACATAATCATGCTCCCGTGTTGTGCCATTCATTAAGATCCTATGTTTCTGTCATTCAAATAACAAGACTTGTGGTTTAATACTCTTAATTATAACAGCCAACTTATTGAAAAATGTTGGGTTTAAATCGGGCTCGGGCCGTTAATTACAGTTAATTGGACGGTTCGGGCCAGTCCCGGACATAACGTGCACAGGCTCGGGCCGGGTCGGGCTGGATTTTTTGGGCCCAATCTATGATCTACTGCACACCACTACACAACACTACTACACACACTACACAACACTACTACACACACTACACACTAATACACACACACTAATATGATTCTGACCAGCTGTGTCTCCATGGCAATGAGATGATGACAGTAGAAACAGGTGTGACTCACTGAGGCTCCACCTGTTTGAGTTTCTTCACACTTAGACTCTTCAGGTACATTGACCTGATCATCACCAGTGCAGTAGTAGTGTGACACAGGTGGGTCCTGATGATCTGATCACACCTGTTTGTGATCAGCACCTGTTTGTAATCACACCTGTTTGTGATCAGCACCTGTTTGTGATCACACCTGTTTGTGATCAGCACCTGTTTGTGATCAACACCTGTTTGTGATCAGCACCTGTTTGTGATCAATACCTGTTTGTGATCAGCACCTGTTTGTGATCACACCTGTTTGTAATCACACCTGTTTGTAATCACACCTGTTTGTGATCACACCTGTTTGTAATCACACCTGTTTGTGATCAACACCTGTTTGTGATCAGCACCTGTTTGTGATCAGCACCTGTTTGTGATCAGCACTTGTTTGTGATCAGCACCTGTTTGTGATCACACCTGTTTGTGATCAGCACCTGTTTGTGATCACACCTGTTTGTGATCAACGCCTAAATTTTGTTGTGCGTTACTTTTATATTTTAAAAGATGAGCAACCTGCCGTCACTTTACTACTACTACACACAATACACAACATTAATACACACTAATACACACACACTTACGTGATTCTGACACACTGGCCCTCATTTATCAATCTTGCGTGGAAATTTGTGCAGATCTGAGCGCAGGATTCATCTTACGATAAGACACAAGTGTGATTTATGAAACATTCATATCTGACCAGTACCAGCGTACAAATGATCAGGCATTGATAAATGAAGCGGCTGAAATCGATCGTCATTAGCATGTCACGCCCTTAAATATTCGTGGTTTAGAGGCCTCGCCCTTTGAGGTCACAACATGGAGAGGAGAAACATTGCAAAGAAGAGAAACTTTCCTGAGCTGGTAATTGACACCCTCACGTCTGAGGTGGAGGTAAAAGTAAAAAGTGGTTAGACTTAAAGCTGGCAACAAAACGCCCTTAGGCGTAGCAACACGCAGACTGGAGGAGGCCAACCAGACCCCAGCCTGACCCTGACGGGGACCAAGGAAAGAATCTCCTCACTAATTGGGTCAGAATCTATCTCTGGTATAAGTGGTGGTGGTGGAGACACAGACACACTTGCGTCGGAGCCGGAGCAGAATGGTAACAAACAGCCCTCTTTTTGCTTGCATTGTAAAATCGGACAGTTAATTTAATCTGACAGTACACTATTGTCCAAATAAATAGGCTTACACATGTTATTAGCACTTACACAACTTTAAGGTGTACTTTACATTTTAGAAGCGATGAATGAGGTCCTGTCTCCTCTGTATAGCCCCCAGTGGAGGCTGTGCTGGCCACGGTTCCCTGGGCATTGGTTCATCTGGTTGCGCCAGCACATCAAACGGCACTCCATTGTCGAAAGCAATATTGTGCAAAACTGCACAGACCAAAATGATGTCGCACACCTTTTCTGGGGTATACAGCAGCATTCCCCCCGCTGGTCCAAGACAGAGTCACCTGCCTTTGAGCAACCCGAAGTAGCGCTCCACCGTGACCCATGTGCATGTATGCGCACTGTTAAACCTGCGCTCCTGCTCTGTGGCAGGGTTTGCCAGCAGGGTTATGAGGTATTGAGGGGATAACTTTTGTCATCTAGAACAAGAACCATACCAAAATGATAGTTAATTAATAGCCTACTTTGTTTAGATTTATTTACTCCGGTTCTGCAGTGTGCCCTCCCGTAGCCGTGCACCCACGCAACTGTTATGGAATATAAATGAGTCGTGCGTCCCCCCCGGCCACTTGGCTACCACGTTTAGTAGTGATAGCCTGGCATCACAAATTACCTGTAAGTTAATATAAGAGTGGTAATTTTTGCAATTGATGAATGTGTAATCATTCATGGCTGTTTTATTTCATTTTGTTTTATTTGTTTTGGGAATCCTTTTTTAATATGTACTGAATATGTGGCTGCTTATGCTTAGATGACAAGTTTGTCGTTTGTTTTATAATTATTTTCAGACTCAGCCATTTTGCTGTGCTGCACCGCAAATCTACACTGACTCAAACTTGTGTACACAAGCTGAGACCTGACGTGAGATGTGATCGTAGCGTCCACTCACGTCCAAATTGATAAATGCCAAGCCTTGCGTGGAAATGGTTGTGCGCACAGTTTTCTGTCGTACATTCGTTTGATAAATGAGGGCCACTGTGTTTATGGCAATGGGCGATCTGCCGTCATCATGTGTATTGTAAGTATTATTTGCTGCAGCCTGTAGGGGGCACTGACAGGAGTTTATTTTTGATCTACAGATTATTTATTTATTTATTCATAAATTAATTATTTGTTTATAGATAAGATATTGATTAATTGATTCCTCACAGCTACCAGCTAGAAAATAAAAACACGTCTATAAAATGACGTTAGATGTTTATGTTGTTGTTTTAGGGGCAGGGCAGCTGTGGTCTGGGGGGGCAGTGGGTTGTCACATCATCAGAAGATCAGTGGTTTGATCCCCAGCTCCTCCAGTCTGCATGCTGAAGTATTGTGTTTAGGGGGAGGGGTTCTACTGATGGCCATGTGATCAGTGTGTGATCAATGTGTGTCTGACAAACTTCTCTGTCGTTGAACAGGTATGTGTTTACCTTCATCTATACATTTGAAGCAACAGTTAAAATCATGGCCCGAGGATTCTGTGTCGGAGGTTTCACCTTCCTCAAAGACCCCTGGAACTGGCTGGACTTCATGGTCATCAGCATGGCGTAATCCTCAAAGCACACCTGAGATACACCTTCTCATCACGGACTCAAACACACATGACAATGATGACAATGATGATGATGTCACTGTGTTTCAGGTACCTGACAGAGTTCATAGATTTGGGAAACGTCTCTGTGTTGAGGACGTTCAGAGTTCTTCGAGCTCTGAAGACAATCACAGTCATTCCCGGTCAGTTTGTGTCTCACATTAAAATCCACTTTGATTCCATGGTGATGAGTTCACAGTTCTGATTGGTCGGTCTGCTTTTAACCCTTCCCCTCAGGTCTGAAGACGATTGTCGGAGCTCTCATCCAATCAGTGAAGAAGCTGGGTGATGTCATGATTCTGACACTGTTCTGCCTCAGTGTCTTCGCTCTGGTTGGTCTGCAGCTCTTTATGGGAAACCTGCGGCAAAAATGCGTCCTAATACCTCCGCTGTCGCTTAGCAACTACACGTCTGACATCAACCTAAACGTCAGTTACCATGGAAACAATACAGGAAGCAGTGAGGACTTTGATTACTTTGAGTTCATCAACAATCCAGGTACGATGAAAGTTTGTGAATTACAAGGTTCAAATATTAGCACAACTACATCTAATATGATGACAACTAATACTATAACAACGACTACTACAACTATCAATTCAATCAATCAATTTTATTTTATAAAGCCCGATATCACAAATCACAATTTGCCTCAGAGGCTTTACAGCATACGACATCCCTCTGTCCTTATGACCCTCACAGCTGATCAGGAAAAACTCCCCAAAAAACCCTTTAACAGGGAAAAAAAACGGTAGAAACCTCAGGAAGAGCAACTGAGGAGGGATCCCTCTTCCAGGAAGGACAGACGTGCAATAGATGTCGTACAGAACAGATCAACATAATAAATTAACAGTAATCCGTATGACACAATGAGATAGAAAGAGAGAGACAGAGACAGAGAGAGAGACAGAGAGAGATGCAGGACAGACGGTAAAGATAAAAGCTTACAACAACATTAATTTAAGTAATAATAGTATAATAAGAAGCATGGCTATTGTGGTACAATATGTTGTAGGTATATATTAATATATGATACTTTATGTTTATGACAATAATAATCATATGTGTATAATGACAGAAGTATGACTAATGATAACAGCAGCAGGAGGCATCACCCAGGTACTTACAGGATGTCACCATCTCAATGTCCATTCCCTGCATGTTCACCGGTGTTGGGGGGAGGAGTCTGTGCTTGCGAAAATCCACCACCAGCTCTTTGGTTTTCCCCTAGTTGATCTGGAGGTGGTCCCTCAGGCACCAGTCAACAAACACCTGGTTCAGGGGCCCCGGTACTGCAGACAACCAAGTCCGATACACAATCCTGGGTCCTAACAGACTGTCGGTCCGTGAGGTAGTCCAGGATCTGGAATGTGAAGTGATTAGCCACCCCTATGTGCTCCATTTTGTCCCTCAGAAGTCGAGGCTGTATGGTTTTGAAAGCGTTGGAGAAATCAAAGAACATGATTCTCACAGAGCTTCCAGGCTTCTCAAGGTCAGAAAGAGCTCCATGCAGGAGGAAGATGATTGCATCGTCCACCCCAGTGCAAGGCTGGTATGCAAACTGCAGCGGGCCAGTTAGTAGCCCAGTTAGTGACATGCAGTAGAGCCCAGTTAGTGACATGTAGTAGAGCCCAGTTAGTGACATGTAGTAGAGCCCAGTTAGTGACATGCAGTAGAGTCCAGTTAGTGACATGCAGTAGAGCCCAGTTAGTGACATGCAGTAGAGCCCAGTTAGTGACATGCAGTAGAGCCCAGTTAGTGACATGCAGTAGAGCCCAGTTAGTGACATGCAGTAGAGCCCAGTTAGTGACATGCAGTAGAGCCCAGTTAGTGACATGCAGTAGAGCCCAGTTAGTGACATGCAGTAGAGCCCAGTTAGTGACATGCAGTAGAGCCCAGTTAGTGACATGCAGTAGAGCCCAGTTAGTGACATGCAGTAGAGCCCAGTTAGTGACATGCAGTAGAGCCCAGTTAGTGACATGCAGTAGAGCCCAGTTAGTGACATGCAGTAGAGCCCAGTTAGTGACATGCAGTAGAGCCCAGTTAGTGACATGCAGTAGAGCCCAGTTAGTGACATGCAGTAGAGCCCAGTTAGTGACATGCAGTAGAGCCCAGTTAGTGACATGCAGTAGAGCCCAGTTAGTGACATGCAGTAGAGCCCAGTTAGTGACATGCAGTAGAGCCCAGTTAGTGACATGCAGTAGAGCCCAGTTAGTGACATGCAGTAGAGCCCAGTTAGTGACATGCAGTAGAGCCCAGTTAGTGACATGCAGTAGAGTCCAGTTAGTGACATGCAGTAGAGCCCAGTTAGTGACATGCAGTAGAGCCCAGTTAGTGACATGCAGTAGAGCCCAGTTAGTGACATGCAGTAGAGCCCAGTTAGTGACATGCAGTAGAGCCCAGTTAGTGACATGCAGTAGAGCCCAGTTAGTGACATGCAGTAGAGCCCAGTTAGTGACATGCAGTAGAGCCCAGTTAGTGACATGCAGTAGAGCCCAGTTAGTGACATGCAGTAGAGCCCAGTTAGTGACATGCAGTAGAGCCCAGTTAGTGACATGCAGTAGAGCCCAGTTAGTGACATGCAGTAGAGCCCAGTTAGTGACATGCAGTAGAGCCCAGTTAGTGACATGCAGTAGAGCCCAGTTAGTGACATGCAGTAGAGCCCAGTTAGTGACATGCAGTAGAGCCCAGTTAGTGACATGCAGTAGAGCCCAGTTAGTGACATGCAGTAGAGCCCAGTTAGTGACATGCAGTAGAGCCCAGTTAGTGACATGCAGTAGAGCCCAGTTAGTGACATGCAGTAGAGCCCAGTTAGTGACATGCAGTAGAGTCCAGTTAGTGACATGCAGTAGAGCCCAGTTAGTGACATGCAGTAGAGTCCAGTTAGTGACATGTAGTAGAGCCCAGTTAGTGACATGCAGTAGAGCCCAGTTAGTGACATGCAGTAGAGCCCAGTTAGTGACATGCAGTAGAGTCCAGTTAGTGACATGCAGTAGAGCCCAGTTAGTGACATGCAGTAGAGTCCAGTTAGTGACATGTAGTAGAGCCCAGATAGTGACATGCAGTGAGTCCAGTTAGTGACGTGTAGTAGAGTCTATTATTTCACTATTATTTCACCCTAAAGCTAATTAGGGCCTGAGCGACGACGAAGTCGTCCGTGAGGACCCTATTGCAATCGCGCTGTTTATTATTATTATTATTATTGTTCTGCCCATATAATCCCCAATTTGGCCCCTTTACCAAATTCAAAAACTCTTTCCACCACTAGGTGGCGCTATAATCAAGGACAGTGTGTTTTGGGTCATAACTCCCATATACTTTGTCGCACATTCAAAATCCTTATATCCACGTGTTCAGTGAATTGTGCTGAATCTTGTGATATAGGCCACGCCCATTTCCGCCTACCGTTTTTTTATCACAAATTCAGAAAATGTTGCAAACCTACTTTTTCGAAGTCCTCCCAGGCAATTTCACCGATTGGCATGAAACATTGCACACAGCATCTGTGGTCCATCCCGACAAAATGTTATTAAAAGAATTTTGATATTCCAAACAATACTCAACTTATTAAATAACAACTTCCTGCAGATTTCGTTGTAAACAGGAAGTGCTGCATTTCTCCACATTGGTGTATCCGAATGACATGAAACTCAGTTTCCTACTTCCCCATGAGCCCCTGAGGCTCTGTGCAAAATGTCAGGCGATGACCACCAGGTGGCGCTCTTTAAATTGAAGTATTTTATATCTCAACATGGGTTGGGCGGATTGTCACGAAACTTGGTATAATTATTGTCAATGCCCTCTTGAGGATATCTGATGAAGGACTAACTAATCCGCCACTAGGTGGCGCTCTGGTGGCCATCTATTTTAATATTTGGCACTGTGCCAACATCATAACACTCATGAAAATAAAATTGATAGGTGTGGTAAAGACTGGCCCCTGTAACTCACACACCAAAAATGACCAGCAGGTGGTGCTATTTTCAATGCAAAAGCGTTTTTGGCTAATAACTCCCACAAAATATGTCGCACATTGTTAAACCTTCTATTCACGTGTTCTCTGAATTCAGCTGAATTGTGTGGTGTAAGCCACGCCCACTTTCGCGATAACTTTCCATTCGCTAAATCGCGACAAATGAAAAACGTTACTTTTTTTAACTCCTCCTAGGCGATTTGACTGATTTGCACCAAACTTTGCATGTAGCATCTGTGGACCCTCCTGACAAAAAGTTATTAAAAGAATTTTGTTTGTCCGAAAGACGCCCAAAATATAAAACAACAAATTCCTGCACATTGTTTTCAAAACAGACAGTCTTTCATATCTTGACCAAATACAGTCCGATTACCACAATACTTTTGCTGATTGTGTTCCATGGCCCAATGAGAGTTTGTGCAAAATTCGGTGCAAATCGGCCAATAGGTGGCGCTCTGGTGGCAGTCTAATTAGTGTGAATGGAAGTAAATTGGAAAATCTTCAAATCCTCTTCAAAACTCATCGACTTTCAACCTCTTCTTTCCCTCATACTTTGAGCTAGAGACACCATGTCAACTTTTAAAGAGTCAGAAGACCTTGAACGCATTAGTTGTACATAATTATCTATCTTTATCTTTATTTCGACCATGACCAATATTCTTTTGTTTATGAACACTGGTAGATAACTATCTTGACACCAGATGGTCTTTGGCTGCTCTGACGCTACCGTCATAAAAACAAGAGACCGCACATGCGCAGTTGCGCACTCTCAGCTGATTGTAAACAGATAAGATGGCGACAAGACGCAACTTCAGTGTTCATTTAAAGCTAGACGTTTTGAAATATTCCGAACAAATGTCGGGGGAATACGCCGCGAGGCATATGACGCCTGGTATGCAGAGGACGGCAACAAGACGTTCACAAAAGGAGGGAACATGAGAGCAGCTGACAAACGCAAGATAACAGCTTACCGTGTCCAGGTCCAGTAATTTCCTCTTTGGTTGGTGTCATGACTGCCCAGTATCTGGACAACCGAGCCATGGCGGAACACAGGTATGTGGTGTGTCAGAGGAGAAACGAGCCCTTAACATTTCTCTTTGTGTTAGGTAACGTTAACGGCGTTAGGCTGACCAAACGTCCTCTTTTGCCCCAACATGTCCACTTTTCACGTCCTGTCCGGGGCGCCCGGGTTTTTTTTTATAAACTGATAATGTCCGGTTTTCCGTGTGTTTGTGTGTGTGTGTGTTAGAGTGTGGCACGGCCGCATATTTCTGCTCGAAGCCGAACCAAGCCCGACATTATTTATAACCAAAGCACTGAGTTTGTGCCACACAGTTGTTACGGTTACAGGCTCTTTAACCCTATGGGCCCGAACGATGCATAGTCCGTCCAAATTCACACCTGTTCTTCTCTGTGGATTTTCTCCGCGACTGCGCGTCATAACGAAAAGCCACGCATATCACGTGAAACAGTGATATCATAGCTTTCAGACAAGACTACAAGAGCACTTGTCGGTAGTCCAGTG